TTAACAACCTTCCTCATGTAGGTTCACAGGATAACTTTGAGGGGGCGGGGTAAATACACTTGCAATTGCATTACTTCAGACAGGGCAATCCTCTATTAAATCAAAAACTCAGCTATTTTTAGAACCGTTGGGCAGGTCAGGTAAAATTTTAATTAATTGCACAACCCTAACTATTTGTTTGCCACTCATTTCTGGCCAGTCATGCAATACGACCACCTGCCATCATGTAAACCCACTTGACCCCTATCAACCTTGACCCCTATCAGCATTGTTTTTATTTTATTATTCTGTTCTGACTGATTGTTGGTTGCTTTGATGAGTGCCTGATGACAGCCTGCAGTTTCTAATCCACAATAAAAGAAAAATAAAGGAAAATTATTTCATGTAAAATTAAACATTTTTTTGATCCAATAAAAAAAAACATTGATATCACTGCTTAATTCTTTTTTCATCAAATAAGTTCACATGATTTATGATAATTAATCTATAATACATAAAGTTTCAAGATTTACTGAGCCCACATGAAGACCGATACCACAGCACCAAAGGTCTTCTGGATCAAAGGAGAACTAATATCAAACATTGCAAAGATCCTCATTAAATAGTCCATAAACAAAGAAATAATGACATGAGATGCAGTAAGGCAAATGAAACGTGGAAGGAAATAACCAGACGGCTGCAAGATAAAACTACACAAGGTATGGGTTGAAGATCATACAGTCAAGGCGGTTGATGAAAAAATGTATTGATATCAAGGCCTCAACAGGAAATGGAGATGCTGTGAAGACAGGCTCAAGTTATAGCTCCTACCTCCTTTTCCTTGCTAGGAAAGGAACTCCAGATGGATCTGACAAATCCAGACAGCCATCAGCCTTTTGGACATTGTTACCAATTGGACACACATGCGAACGACGTTGTTCAAATAGGGACTACAACCCTTCAGAAAAAAAAAACTACAAAAACAATCCATCCATCCATCCATCCATCCATCCATCCATCCATCCATCCATCCATCCATCCATCCATCCATCCATCTTCTTCCAGTTTAACCGGGGCCGGGTCGCAGAGGCAGCGTCTGAGCAAAGATGCCCAGACTTCCAGAGCCACGCACACGTCTTCCAGCTGCTCTGGGGGGACCCCAAGGCGACACCAGGCCAGCTCAGAGACAAAACCCTCAAGGGTGTCCTGGGCCTTCCACGAGGCCTCCTCCCAATGGCCTGGAACACCTCCCGAGGGAGGCGACAAGGAGCTGGCTCCTTTTGATGTGGAGCAGTGTTGAGCAAAATTATATCCTGCAGATAATGAATAAATGATTAACTAGAAGTGGAGTTATAGTTAATTATTTAACTTATTCAAAATATGAGGTGAAATTAATTTAGTGTTCTTAGTTGAATAATTGTAGCTCTAATTTGCTTACTTACCAGGGTTTGTGCCTTTCACCTCTGGAGGGTTCCTGGACCAGCTATTAAAATCCAGGTAACCCCACCAATTTATTGACCTAGGCTAGGTTATCAGCAGAGCTATTACTTTTCAATCAAAGAACCATTTATCTCTGTTTATTCGCACTATTACCAAAAGAGGGTGGATCTGGCCTGAGTGATAAACCATTCGTATATATGAATCACAGACAACTGCAAGTTAAACAATGACGTCTTTATTCTAATAATTCAGGATTACAGAAATCTAACATCTATGCAAAACACTACATTCTATTAGAAAAATAAACACGAGGTAGACTAAATGACTAGTTTGAAAGAAAAAAAAAAGAATAAAACCCTAAGAGTCCACTTAACTTGCTTCTGAGATTTCCAAGATAGGCGAGATGTCAATACATTCATTAATGTCCGTTTGGAATAGCAGCAGGTATGATAATAACAACAGTGCAATTAAAACAACATAAATACATTCAGCTTAAATGATAAATGGTTAAAATGCATTAACAACAGCAGACGTTCGTTCAGCAAATGTGAGGAGCAGGGCGGCATGTATGTGTGTGTGGGGGGGATGTGTGCGTATATGTGTGTGTGTGTGTTTGTGTGTGAGACCCCCGTTTTCCTATGATGAAGGGGGGGGTGGGGCTTGTAACAATGGGTTAAATGTGGGCAAATTCTCTATAAACTAACCTTAAAGCAGAAAGAGAAGGAAAACAGGATAGAAAGAAAAGAAGGAAGAAATATCAATTGCAGCTTTTCACAGCACACTTATTTCAACCATTAAACCAGAGTTCTTATAACCAGCACAGATTAAACATTAGCGTTAATTCAAGTTTCTCCTATCTACCTACTCGCCCGAGCGCAGCACCTCATTAAAGCATCAAATAGAAAAGTCGATGGGTTTTACTTTGAGACGTCTTCCAGTCGAGGAAGGAAGCGTGGGGAGGAGGGGGACACGCGGAGGGGTCAGAAGAGTTTTAAGTTAGTTTGATGCTACAGCAGAGGAACTTAATGGCTTTTAGGTTGAGGAAGGTTTACTTACGGCTATCAAAGCAGAGGCGTCCTCCTGCAGAAAGGCCATGATGTCCATAGCGAGGTCCTCAGAAAAGGGGGGAAGATCCACACAGCATTCAGCTTCGGAGATTCCACCCAGTTCAGCGGGCGCTATGCACGATGGGTCACTGCGATCCTTGACTTTTGAGGCAGGACAACGAAAGCTACTTCCAGTTAGCTTTCTTTTAGCATTTCACGTGAAACGGGCCTCTCCTTACAGGTGTGAAAACCCAGGGGGAAGAGAGAGATGGATCTCGCGCTCCGGGATTTAAACCCTCAATGACGTAGGGGTATTTCCTGCTGCGATTTGTGTTTTTATTAGCTGATTGGTCCTTTAGCCGGAAGTTTCCAGACGTTCCTTGTTTTCTTTGTGCAAAAAGGAAGGGGGATGGTTTGAAATGTTTCATCAAATTGATTTGATTTGACTCCATTGTGGCAATATAGCCCAACAGGAGCAACGACTCTACTCCAAGGTACTCCTGGGTAACTGAGCTCCTCACCCGATCTTGAAGGGTGTGCCCAGCCACAAAAAAAAAAAAAAAGTTATACAAATGTAGAGAATGGTTGAAGTTTGGTGTTATAAAACCGCAAAAATATCAGGGTGCGTAAATAGTAAAATAGTATTTGTCATACACACTACATGTCCAAAACAATATATTTTTGTTAACTCTGTGAGATGGGCTGCGTCTATACAAACTGTCAAGCCAAAGCTGTAATATAGCTCCTAGCAGCAGCAAGGTCACTATATTACTGCATTGAGGCTAGTAAGCGTACTGCTTCCTGGTCCTAGCGGCAAAAATCTGGCTTATTTGAATGGCACTTGTTGTAGCAACTGTGGATGCGCTTGCCATGGCAGTAGTGTCCTCAGCTATTCAAGGTTTTACGATAAAGAGAAAGTCATGGTGATGATTACAGAGGACCTGGGAGCCTTGACCTTCAATCTTTGAAGGTAACTGCAGCAGATGGCAGAAAAAACCTCTAAACTCTGACCCAAACAGTGTTCAGAAGACTTGAGCCACAGCAACAGCTAAAATCTTAATGGGAGCTTAGCCCTCAAGCTTGCAGGCGTCTTGTAAAATATTAAGAGGACATTTAACAGGTGTATAACACTATTATTCTCATTCAGAAAATGGATGGATGGATGAATTTAACATTGTTGAAATTCTGTACTGAACGAGCTAAATTGCTTAAAGGGGTCATAGAATGATTATATAGAGTATTTGGTGCTGTCCTTATGGTCTCTGAATGAGTGTGTAACATTGGTTGGGCTAAAAATGGCATATTTGCTGTTCTATGAGCCCTGATGCAAGCCTGGTTATAAGCCCAAGAATAAAACGACAGGTTTTCTTCCTTTTATGGTATGCTCATGAATATTAAGATGAGCTGTGCACTGATTGGTTGGTTTACAACGAGCAAAGATGTTGAGCAAAGACGCATCATAGCAACAAGCACTCACACACTGAAACATCAAATTGTTGATATGGTAGGGTGACCAGACATCCTCTTTTTTCTGGACATGTCCTACTTTTCATACCTAAAAAGATGTCCAGGGGGAATTTCAAAATCATCCGGGATTTTGGTCGACTAAAGTACAGCAGAGTAGAACCGTGAGCTCTGGGGCTGGGGATGGAGCAACCGAACCTGACCCCATGACAGTAGCCGGACGGTAGTGGCCCTGTGCTTCCCCCTGCCTGCCTTACCGGGCAGGCGAGGGGAAGCATACCATCACCGGGTCGGTTCGGTTGCTCTGTCTCTGACCGCCGGGGTTCCCGGACCAGCCCCGGAGCTGACGGCTCAGTCTAGTCAGCAGCCCCTGTTTCAGTAAAAGTTTAGCAAATCCTGCTTTGAACTGTGCAAGAAAAACATAGTCCGTGCCTGTCCAGTCTTCAGTTCTTTGGGAAGATTGTGAAAATGTTCCCCTTTCTCCGTGCAGGCCAGAACCAAATAAGGCAACATCCCCAAATTTACATCAATTCGGTGATTCATTTGCATTAGGCCGTTTTATGGTGGAAGTTTAGAATTGTGAGATTCGCAGAGAAAGGAGGGTTTGATGGGGTTTGAACTTCTCTGTACATCCATTTCATCCACTGAACTATCATTATTAATCTATGACAGTGTGAAATCGGTTTTGCATTCTATGACCTCTTTAAAAAAGATCACATCTCAAAGCTGGTGTTCCCTTTCATACTATTTTACAATGTGATTTCCTTTACAATAAGTATTTTAATACATTTTTTATACGTTATTTCAATATATTATTCTTTTACCCAATTCCTTATCTTATTTTATTGATCTCATCTATTTTGTTACCATGTTCCATGTTTTAAAAACTGTTATTTGAGATTATAATTTTCCTAAATTGTGATTGTAATTCCATATTAATCTAGACCATATAAATTGTTTTAGAATTTTCTTTTAGAGTTTCACATAATTACATGGATTGGGACTATACTGGTCTGGTTAGGTTTAGTTTAGAGTGGTTTAGTTCATTTGCCTTTCTTGTTTTTCGGTCAGGCGCTGAGCGGGCAGCTGAACCCGCTCGGTTGTGACGTGAAGGACCTTCCTCTCAGACACAGCAGCAGTAATGGCGGACTACGATGATAGGGCCTATGGCAGCTTCGGCGGCGGTAGAGGGTAAGTCCCCGCCACTAAACGTCAATGCGCAGCCGGACTCAACCGATTCCGTCTGAATCCCGCGTGTGGACTCCTGCTACACATTCCAATTGGAGCGGTTCTGCTAACTGTCGGCTCTGTGCCCAATGAGCCTGTGGGACAAGGCCGCGCTGGGGTGTGGGGAGGCCGGTGAGGGCAGCCGGGAAACACCGGGGATGCTGGAGCTAACTGCTTATAAATGCAGTGATGTGGCGGATTGATCTCGAACAGAAAATTGTTGTTGTGTATAGCAGTGATCGGGTTCTGGCGCTGGGCGTCACAAGTGGCGCGTTTGATGGAGGGTGAGGTGGAGCCGGGTTGCAGATGCAAGCTGCCCGCATGGCTGCATCATGTGTCCACAGAGGCATCCACAGGTTCAGACATGAGCCTGTGGATGAGGATCTATGTTCAGATACCGACACACTGGGGTTAAAGTGGACATGGCGGTGGACTCTGCTGCCTTCTATGTGTTTTAATGGTTCTATTGGGGAACCAGTATGTTTTCAGCAGGATGTCTGCAGCTTTCATGACCACCCTGTAGGTTCCCATTCACTCACATTATTCATTCAAATATCAGATGCTGAGTCATCATTTCCATACCATCAATTCGATCTTAATTTTAAAAAAAGAAGGGGAAAAAAGCACTTGCGTATTAGTTAAAAACAACTTTATCATCCAAATAAATTTTTTAGACAATTCGTGCTCTAAATATTAAATCAGAAGGACCAATGGAAGGAAAATCACACCTGCACAAAGTTTGGAAGTTGCACATAGTTTCTGTGTTATACTAAGAATGTTATTTAAAAATGCATTAATATATAAATAGACGGATTACACAAAATTTCTCAAAGATATCTGTTCATTAAAACCCAACTCATCTCGGAAACACTTAGTAAAAGAACTTGAAATGCCTTAATCTTGTAAAAGAGAGTAAAGCTCTAACCAAGCTTTATATTTATAGATAAATATTAACCTATGGCTGGAATCTATCTAGATTTTCTTGGAAGGTTGCACCTAAAGTTATGTGACAGTCAGAACATGAATAGTTTGCAAGTCGGACATAACTCTGTGCATTTCAGGGCATCCAAATACAGTGTTTGTGTACAATGTTTGCCCTAAAAAGGTAAATTACCATATAAAGTGGGGACTATATAGTGAACTCGGTTAACTAACCATTCAGACAGATGATCACTACTTTTTGCTCCCCATTAGTAATGTTAACCCGCCTCCTCGCACTTTGCCTGTTCTGTTTGGCCGCAAATAATAAATCCCATGATGCTGTGCAAGGAGAGCTCTCGCTAAGTATTCTGGGATATATTTCCTAGTCTAGTGACCACAAATTGATCACTAGTTTTCAAGGTGCATAGTGGGAAATTACGACTCCATCACATTTTCGTCCACTAGATCAGTGATTCTTAACCATAGGGCCGCGACCCAAAGTTGGGCCTCCAGCGCCCCCTTGTGGGCCGCAAAAATCTTTCAGTTTTGCACCTGTGGGCCGCAAGGGCCGTGGGACTGCGTGCAGCTTCCGACCATGTGGTGGCGGTAATGCATCACTCGGTTGTTTAAAAAGCGCCAATACACAGAGAATTAGACTGTGGATAAGCAAAAATTGATAAGTTTTTAAAAAGAAAAAATGAAGACGAACGCCCTGCCGACACCCACACCCAAAAGACAAAGTTTGTGCGTAAATACAATCTCGACTTCATTAAATACGGTTTCGTAAATGGAGGAACAGAGGCAGTGCCAAAAGCCCAGTGTGTGGAGTGTGGGCTAATGCTGTCCAACGAAGCTCTCAAGCCCTCAAAACTACAGCGGCATCTAGAGACCAAGAACCCGATGCTCGTGGGAAAGCCGGTGGAATATTTTAGGAGGAAGGAAATTGGGCTGCAGATGCAGAAAAGGTCTGTCGTGTCACTGACAAGCAACTCTAAATGTGCATTGAAAGCCAGCTACCTCGTAGCCAGACGTGTGGCACAGAGTAAGAAAGCATTCACCATAGCGGAGGAGTTGGTTCTGCCTGCCGCTGTTGATATGTGCCGTGAGCTAATCGGAGAGGCCGCCGCAAAAAAGCCGCTGACCATCCCACTCTCTAACGACACTGTGAGTCATCGTATCGCGGACATGGCCTCAGACATACAGCATCAACTAACAGAAAGAATAAAAAGTAGCCCATTTTTTTCTTTGCAATTAGACGAGTCCACGGATGTCACGAATGCTGCACTGCTGCTAGTTTTTGTTCGCTATCGCTGGGACAGTAGTTTGCACGAAGACATACTGTTTTGTGGAGAGCTACCAACACGAACTACGGCTCAGGAATGTTTCCGCTGCATGGATAACTACTTCACTGAGAATGGCCTGGACTGGCAGAACTGTGTCGGGGTGTGCAGTGATGGTGCAGCATCAATGACTGGCAAGCATCATGGTGTCATTACACAGATACTTAATCGTGCACCAGAAGCTAAATGGACACACTGTTTTCTCCACCGTGAAAGCCTTGCAGCAAAACAGATGTCACCAGATCTCCACTAGGTGATGGATGTAAGTGTGAAAACCATAAACTTTATTAAAAGCAATGCTGTGAACTCCAGATGTTTTGCTAAGCTTTGTGAGGACATAGAAGCAGATCATGTCCAGCTGCTATATCACAGTGAAGTGAGATGGCTCTCAAGAGGACTGGTCCTCAATCGTTTGTTTGAGCTGAGGAACGAGGTGTTCTCTTTTCTCACTGAGAAAAAATCTCATCTTGCACATTACTATGCTGACACAATGTTCACAGCAAAACTTGCCTACCTCTGTGACATTTTTTCACTACTGAACCAACTGAACACCTCACTTCAAGGAAGAAACAGCAACATATTTTGTGTTGCAGACAAAGTTGAAGCTTTCAAGAGGAAACTTGCTTTGTGGACCAAGAGGGCCCAGGAAAAGAGGATGGACATGTTTCCACTTTTGTCTGACATTTTGGAAAACTCCCCTCAGGTGAAGATCGGTGACTCAGTCTCCCAGCACCTCTCCCAACTGGCAGAGAAATTTGGTGACTACTTTCCTGAGGATCCCAGAGAGGGAAACATGTGGATTTTGGACCCATTTTCAGTGGATTTCACTGTAAATGATGTTGCTTTGCCCTCACACCTGGAATCCCAGCTTCTGGAAGTTTCTACTGACAGCACTTTAAAGCTGCAGTGGGGCAAACTGGACCTGGGCTCCTTCTGGATTGCTGTCTCAAAGGAGTACCCATGTCTTGCACTGAGGGCTGTGAAACTCCTTCTCCCATTCACAACAACGTACCTGTGTGAATCAGGATTCTCCATTGTGGCCACAACTAAGACCAAAGCCCGAAACAGACTCAGAGCAACTCTGGAGGCTACTCTGAGAGTGAGCCTTTCTCCAATTCCACCCAGACTGGATCTGATTATGTCTCAGAGGCAGGCCCAAGTGTCTCATTAAGAGGTGAAGATAAAAGGGAGTTGTATTATTGTTGTTTATTGTTGTTATTATTTGTGTCATTGTTCATTTGTCACAGATATAAAGATTCTTCTGGTTCTGCCATGCAAAAATGGAGACTGCTGAAGCAGTTTTACAATGGCTTTGCAGATTATAAGGCTATAGTTTCATTTGCACTTTTATTTAATTTAGTTTATTTATATTTATAGATTTATATTATTTGAATGCATTTATTTATCACCCCCTTTTTATTGATTTCATGATTTATTTATACTTGAGAGATATTTATTTTATTAATTTAAAGTAAAAATCCTATTATTGGTCTTTTTTTATTATGATTAAAAAGCCTGAATTAATCCTTGAAATTTTTTCTTATCACAGCTTGATTTGGTCCATGAATTATCAGCCTGTTCGGTGTCTTGATGTATGTGTGCAGGTTTATGTAAACGTTTAATAAAAGTTTTTGTGATGATCCCCTTTTATCATGTCATTTTATTAGACAATTTTTTTGCTTGTTAAGCAATAAGTGGATTTGGTTTATTATTGAATACAAATCAAACTGTACAGTGTTAATATATAATGGGCCCCGGGCCACTTTGTACTATAAAAATTGGGCCTCAAGGTCGAAAAGGTTAAGAACCCCTGCACTAGATGTTCAGACACTCATCTAAAATGGCGTAACCACTATACATTGATTAGAGGAGACATTGCTTAGATCATAGAAGTCCAGTCAGGTTTTTACTTGTTTTACCTGTGATAAAATGTTTAACTTTTAATGGATCTGATTGAAGGTAAATCGATGGGGAGGAGCTCAGAATGCAGCAGCAGAAGGTCCACAGAGGTGGTCAGGATTCCCTCCATGGGGGAGTTTCTGATTGGTTCCTGTATGGGGGGAACCCACGGTTAGCTGAAGAGATTTAATCTCTACATCATAGAGAAACCAGGAAATATTGGTTTGTTTGTTGAGATTAGCTTCATTTATATACCTGAAGTTCACAATTGGGTGTGAAATGTGGCAAAAAACAAAAAAAAAATGGAAACTTACAACTGAAGCTACAGTAGGGGAATCAGCACTTAGTTATTCATGTTAGAAATAAAATAGAAAGGAAATTTTCCACCAGTGGTGAAATTCATCATCAAAGTAAAACACAATACAGACATGCAGATAAACACAAGAGTAAGAAATGCATATAAACAAAGAAACGATTATTGACACACTGTTTGGTAGCGGGAGATTTACCACTTAAGAAAAACTAGTTATTAGAAATAACAGGATCAGAATAGAAAATAGGTTATTAAAGTGTTTTTCACTAATGAGTTCATCTGGGTTGATTGATCTAATCTATCGACTGGTTTAATGAGAAGCGGTCATTTTCTGGAAAAACCTCAGGAGGGTCTTTCCATAACATGAAGGGCTTCATTCTTTTAGGATATGCTCAATTTAAAGATTCACGTCAAATATTTGATTTCCACTTTTAATTTGTTTAGTTTCGAGCTTGGATTGCAGCTTGGATTTCAGATACACTTTTTCAGTGTTTTTTAATGATTTGTTCATATGAGAAGCGGCCATGTTGGATCCAAAGTTGGCCATAAAGAAAAGAAAAAAAAGTAATTTCTATTTGACTGTTAGTTAGGGGTGTAAATAATAAACGTTTTGCATCGATGCATCGATCCAACAGCCGACAATCCGATGCATCGACACTCCGCGAGAGTATTGATTCATTTTTTTCCCCCCTCAGGTCTTTTTTTATCCATTTGCTCCTGGACATAATTCTGACTCCCGCACTGCGGTGGCACTAAACCTATTTTTCCTTCTACCTCGCTTCCTTTAGCCACTTACCCTCCTTCCACTTGCAGTATTTTATGATGCAAGGCCTTTCAGATTCTATAACACAGAGGCGTGATTATTGTTCAGTGAATGGGGTTTTCATAGTCCTGGTTGGAGTACAGCTTTGCTACTTCTGTTATTTGCTGTTTCTCCAATAAAATGTATAACGATATAACAGCTTTCATTTATTTATTTCAAATTTGAAACATTGTCTAGCTTGTAAGGTAAAAAAATTTAAATGAAAATTAACCAAATAATCGTATCGTATCCTGGTGTATTCTTGAGTATCAAAAATAATTGAATCGTTGGGTCAGGAAATTGATGCTGAATCGAATCGCTACAATGGGTGTGATTTACACCCCTAGTGTGAGTATTAAAACATAGAAAAACCTCAATCTGTTTATTATTCAGCGTTACTAAGTGGTTTGTTTCTGAGCTAATCGCCTTGCTGAGGTGCTGAAGTGTCCAACAGAAACAGACATGATTTTAAAGATAGTTAGTGAGACGATCTGCAGTAATGAGACACAGACTCTAAAATAAACCCTTTGCTCAAGAATAACGATTAATCAGCAGTAATTAAGAATAAAGACATGTGAACTATTAACATTTTAAACACACTTCCAGTCTTTCTATTAAAGATCTAATTGATTCTTTAAGATAAAATGAAAAGAACATTTGTTTTAACACATATTTTTTATGTTTTGCTATTTAAATTTCAATGAAGATGCTCCTTTCTATAATCCCAATGTTTGTTTATTTAGAAATGTTAATTTACTAAACTTAGATCAATATTTTTACTTCAAAGTTCTTTGTTTTAACCAAAAGTTTATTATAAAGTACAGTACAAAGGTTATCAATTTCCTTATTCATTGTTTCCCTTTTCCTGTTATTGATAAACAAACAGGCAGCGGCCAAATAAAATAAACCAGACATCATTTCCTGCACTGGAAAAAATGAAAATCAAAATAAGTCATTTCTTCTTAAAATAAGTGCATTTGTTCTCAGATTGAGGAGGCAAAAGAGACATCTTGCCAATGAAACAGGACAATTTACATTTAAAATAAGAAAACACATTTGCATTGTCTTATTTTAAGTGCATATTATCTAATTAGCATATTTTAAGAGTAAAAAAAATACTAATTCCATTGGCAAACTATATCTTTCATTCAAATTAAGGGTAAAAACACTTAATTTAAGACATTTTTACTTATTTGTAGGTTGTTTTTCTAGTGTTAAATTGATATAAAAAAGCCCTGAAAAACAAAAACGAAAAAAGAAACAGCCACAAAAATCAACGCACACACAAAAAACCATTTTAATTATGAATCTATAGATTTATCCATTACTGAAATAGTGTGTTTAGTTTAATGATTTAGAACTTCAGGTGAAACTAAAACGGTTCTGGAGGTCGATGAAGTCCGGTCCCAGGTGGGAGCTTGTTGGTTTGATGGAGATTTTCTAACACATCCTTGTTTTTCTGATCGATCTCTCAGGTAATTGTCTCCTTGTTTACCTGCTAATGATCCCAGCGCCTCGAAGGGTTTGATAGAAATAAAACATAAAGGGATCTTTGGAGCGTTTCTTTTGTTGTTGATTATTACTCTAAAGAGCTCAGCCTGCTGAATAATGCTTGCTGATTCTGATTGAGCTACGTTTTAAGCAGTAAAGTTGCACCTGAATCAGTTTGCGCCTTAAGAAATTAAACATTTTAGACTAATGCTGGTTTAATTTAGGAATAAAATGAGAATAAAAAACGGTTTGTTTGTTCGTTTCCACCATCATCTCCAGATGTTTTCTTCATAAAGCAGCTTCTTCGTGGCGTTTTATCGGTGTGGACTGTCCTACCGAGCCAGAAGTCGTCTCATGCTTGTCTCTGTTGTGTGTCCCCCTCAGACCCCGTGGCGGCGGCGGGCCTGGAGGCCCCCGGAAGCAGAAGGAACTGCCCACAGAGCCCCCGTTCACAGCGTACGTAGGAAACCTGCCTTTCAACACGGTGCAGGGCGACATCGACGTCATCTTCAAAGAGCTCAGCATCCGCAGCGTGCGATTGGTCAGAGACAAAGAGACAGACAAGTTCAAAGGTGACCGCATGTTGTTATTATTTTAACCAGACCTCTGATCCCTTGAAGACTTAAGGAATGTTCAGCAAAGTTCTGGATGTATTTTGATTAAATTAAAGAGGTTTTTATAAAAAAAAAAAAAAGATTTTTTTCCTTTTTTAATAATAACCAATAAATGTTTATTATAAAAACAGGACTGTATTTTAGCTCAGAGGCTGCTTAGTTCATTGATCAGAGGTTTATCATAACCGTTATCTGAAACAAACTTTGTATCTTTTCAGAGAAACATCTGTGATTATGTGGCTATGATTGCTGCGACAGACAGTCACAGCTATAAAGTTAGCTAAGAAAGACCAATGAAGAGTTTTTTATGGTTATCAGAACAATAACGGCAAATATGGCTCTTTCTCTTTATGCTGGAACGTGTTGGCTCTCAGGTGTGTACGCTCCTGTTTTGGCATCTGAGTGAGGACAGTTCCTCCCAGTTAACCATGAAATCGAGGATGGTTCTCTGGTCCTCACTGCTTTTTATGCTAACTGCCAGGTTTAGGACTAAGATGAGTTGAGTTTGGGTTCAGATAAGGGATGCTGTCAGGGTTTGGCAGAGGAAGCGTTGAAAATCAGTGGTAAAAAGTCTTTTAATTATTTTGCTAATTGGTACTTTATTGATTTTTTATTTTTTTTAACTAATTGATTAATGACAGGATGGGAAAAGATCGTTTACAGAAGATTTTTACAGAATTCAAACCAGCTGGAACTAAAAGTTTTCCACGTGATAAGTAACTTTTTAAATAACTTACTAGATTTTGCCAAGAAAAGATTTTACCCCAGCTAGAGGTGTTTTTTTTTTTTTTAAGCATAAATGTGTTGAATAGGAGATGGAAAACTTTTTTTTAGATCTATTTTAGATAAATTGTGATTTACCTGATCATGTGTATCTGGCGCCGCTGGTTGGATGGCTGTAGCCATCGCTGACCATGGCTGATATACAGCGCATAACTGATACCAGCTACCTGTTTACAACACATCCAAAACCTCCCTTGCCGATCTGTGGTCCGGTGTTGGTACCAGATCTGCACTCATCCTGCTTCCTGCCAGTAACGTTACGCTACATGATTGGCTGAACGTTGCCACATGTTGTAAAACATAGTGGTTGCCCAGACAACGATGATAACATCGTGCAGCGTCAGGATGCTGAGTCTGTAGCTTCCATAGCGTCTAATGATCTGTCTAATGACAAGATTATTTTTAAAATCTGTTTATAGTGAACAAAGTAACTGTTAGACCATGATATAAAGGGGGAGAGCTGGGTAGCGCTGTAGCTAGCTGTGCTCAGTAGCTAACAGGTTAGCTTCTTTTAGCTCAGTCAGTTAGCCATATTACGCTACAATACCTTTAACTTCATCTCAAAAACAACTATTGTTTTCTAGAAGTAAAATAACTGTTTGATTTGTTTAAAATATCTACGAAAGTCATTTTTTAGATGTTTCATTTGTCCTTCCTGTCCTCAGATCTTAATGAAAAGAATAAAAATGAGACTTTTTATTGTCATCTTGTTAAATGGCAGAGATCGACGTACTTTCTTTCAAGACTTTGAATGATTGTTTTCTAATTTTGATGACTTCAGATCATCAATGACATGTAAGATAATAGCAAAAATAGGTAATTATTTGTTGAGACTCCCAAAGAGACTAGATCCTTAAGAAACAGATGCAATACAGTTTGTCCGAGTGGAGTTGCCATATGTTTACATTATAAGAAGGGGCGGGGCCCCGAGCAGATCTGGTACCTACACCGTGTTAGCTAGCTTATGCTACTTACTGTTTTCTACAGCACAGAGTAACGCCACCGTATGACTGCCCTGCGCTTCACAAAGCCTCGTTTATTCTCTCCAATGGATGGAGGTTTAAATTTAGATGCACGTTTAATTCCCATTTCCTGTTTTCTCCCCTCCATTTTTTAAAAGTTTGCTCTAAATTGGCATCACATGTTGATGGAAACACAGCTAATGGGAATGTACCAATCTGGCATTAATAATACAGATAGCAAATCTGATAATATATCAGCCTGCTTATTAAATCACTGATTTAAAAAACATCGGGACAATGGCTTCCTTCTGCCTCATTACTTTTGTGTCACATAAATCCAGAAATCTGGTATTTAGGGAGCGGCTGTGCCAGTCCGCTTAGATTCCTCCCTGGTTCTACTGGAGGCTTCCTGCTGTTAGTTTTTCTCTCACTGTCGCTGCATGCTTATTCAGGTAGAGTGCAATCGGCTGAGGCTCCTTAGATTGAAAACTGTTTGTAAAAGCAACGGCTTTGCTGCTCAGAAATAGGTGAGAAGAGCTCTGCAGTTTTCCTCTTTCTAAGTTTGAAGTTTGACTCTGTGTTGCTTTGGTTGAAGGCAGAACAGGTTTGTTTACATGCTGAGAAAAGATGATTAATGCCCTGAAGATGCCATCTGTCTGTTTGTTGAAATGAACTCATCTTTTCTATGTCATGCCTTTCGTTTTTCGCTACAAACTTTTGACACTGGAGTTTCTGTCCATTTTCTGACTCCCCTATTGAGCTGCTGGAATAACTGTTGCTCTGTAGCGCCCTCTGCTGTCAACCTGCAGCAGAGGCCTGTAGTCGGTGCCCCTGTTGCCATGTTTAATAGTATCCCCAATCTGGAAACTTCTTTAATTGATACAAACGAGAAATACAAGAATGCATGACATGAATACATGTCTGTTGTGTTTGAAAGGAAAGGATGTGTTTGCTGTTCTGGCGAGTCGTTGGTCCGTGCTAAAAAATATCCCAGATTTAGTCTAAAACTCCTTCTATGATCCATGTTAACAGGTCATAAAAGTAGTTTTATTTATAAAATGCACAGTAAAATATTAAAATCATATAAATAAGGGAAAAAATGTAGATAATTACTAAATTGGTGTATAGAATATAATTGTTACTTTAATAATAAAAAATATAACTGCATAAAAAACTTAATTCTATACACTTATTTAGATATAAAATATCTAAATAAGATATTTCAATATCTTCAAAAGCTTTTTTGTTTTTGGAAACTATTAAGCTTAATGCTTTATTGAGTTGGAATAATCAAAGTTGTTATACTAGTTTACTGAAGACTGAAGATAAAGGATAAAAACTATGAGTCTAATTATTTTTATTTTTTTGTCTCTTTTAGGGTTTTGTTATGTTGAGTTTGATGATTTGGAATCCTTAAAAGAAGCTTTGACGTACGATGGTGCGGTAAGTATCTCCTGAAAAAGCAAACACAGCTTTGATATTAAAGGTATAGTCGAGGATTTTATCACATTTTTTAAAAGAGCTGCCCTCTGTCTTTTTAAATAAAATGCACATGCACAACCTTGTACCCGCTCCCCAGAGGGAACGCCTATTAAAGGTGTGCGAGAGCATTTAGAGCCCATTTCTCCTCCTGCACGCTCTGTTTAAAAGTTGCCGTTTGCATCGCTCATGCGAGCTTTTTCCACTATGTCAAAAGGAAAATGGGGGGGACGAGCACGAAGGACGGGCTTACGTGAACATATCACCAGAATGATTGACAATTAGGAGGACCACTTATTTAGATGATCCACCCGGAAAAAGAACATCCTCCACTATACCTTTAAGGGCCCTGTCACACCTTCGTAATTTAGCCAGCGTATGCCTGATGTCACAGAATCTCCTAAAACGCTGGCGTACGCTGAACTTTCTATGTATTTCTTTTTTTATTTTGGGTGCATACATAGAGTATTCATAACCTGTCCAGAACTTATGCCCAACAACAGCCTAATGCCCATGAAATGTCACAAGCCAGTGTCCTGAGTGGGGCAGTAATGCACCCAGAGGTATAAATGGTAAATGGCATGTACTTATATAGCGCCTTTATTCAAGTTAGGACATTTGACCAAAGCGCTTTTCACTACATTCATTCACCCATTCACACACACACTCACACACTGATGGTGGCAAGCTGCATTGTAGCCACAGCTGCCCTGGGGCTCACTGACAGAAGCGGGGCTGCCATACACTGGCGCCATGGGGGGCCCTCTGACCACCATCAGTAGACAATGCAGGTGAAGTGTCTTGCCCAAAGACACAACGACACTGAAAGTCAGAGTCGGGGCTTGAACCGTCAATCCTTTGATTTCAATGCAAACTCCTACATCCAACGCCACTGTCGCCCCATAAAAGGACGTCTTTGATTGCGGTATTAAAATAGCTGCTGCTTACCGCCTGCCCAAAAAAAAGAAAGAAGGTTAGCAATCGCAGCAGATTGAGCGTCTGCTAGGAAGTTTATTGGCCGTGGGCATGAACGCAGAGAGGATCATTCACTTTCACCCTATGATGGGGATGAAGTCTGATATACCAAAACGCGGCCAATACGCCATTACAGTAGCTGTAAGTTAGAAACACGTTCAGCGGTCGTCTGGAACAAGTCAGAAACGTTGAAATGCGTTGAAGATCAGTTCTTGATAATTAACGCATCAGTTATGCACAAGTTACTCATAGGTTTTGGATAAGCTAGCCACCACGACATATAACTTAACCTAACGTATGTCAACAATCAGATAATATACTTGTAACTTATGACCCGCGTATGGCATGCTGGCATACAGCAAAATTTCTTCGTGCTTCCTGTATGTGTTTCAGCATGCTTATAACTTATACAAAAAGTACCTATAACTTATCCAACGTATGCCGGCATTTTTCCAGACAGAAAAAAGCTGTCTAAATGGTGAAGGTGTGAGGGGCTTTAATAGCATCGCATGGTTTATACCCGTTATAAAGTTATTCAGGAATACTGGGAACTCCTCTCAGATGATCTGCTGGTGCATTTTTGGTTATGATGATCAGGAATTCAAACAGGCTATGCAGCTGTGCTATCCTGTCAGACTAACGATGTGACCTCTGCAGTTGCTAGGTGACAGGTCACTGAGGGTGGACATCGCAGAAGGACGAAGGCAAGAACGAGGAGGCAGCGGCTTCGGCTTCAGGAAAGACGACAGTAGAGGTATGATCACCGAAACGGCAGGTGGTGCTGCTGTGGATCTGATCCTGCTGAGGATCTGATCCTGCTGAGGATCTGATCCTGCTGAGGATCTCATCCTGCTGTGGATCTGATCCTGCTGTGGATCTGATCCTGCTGTGGATCTCATCCTGCTGTGGATCTGATCCTGCTGTGGATCTCATCCTGCTGTGGATCTGATCCTGCTGTGGATCTGATCCTGCTGTGGATCTGATCCTGCTGTGGATCTCATCCTGCTGTGGATCTGATCCTGCTGTGGATCTCATCCTGCTGTGGATCTGATCCTGCTGTGGATCTGATCCTGCTGTGGATCTCATCCTGCTGTGGATCTGATCCTGCTGTGGATCTGATCCTGCTGTGGATCTGATCCTGCTGTGGATCTGATCCTGCTGTGGATCTGATCCTGCTGTGGATCTCATCCTGCTGTGGATCTGATCCTGCTGTGGATCTCATCCTGCTGTGGATCTGATCCTGCTGTGGATCTGATCCTGCTGTGGATCTGATCCTGCTGTGGATCTGATCCTGCTGTGGATCTCATCCTGCTGTGGATCTCATCCTGCTGTGGATCTCATCCTGCTGTTGATCTCATCCTGCTGTGGATCTGATCCTGCTGTGGATCTGATCCTGCTGTGGATCTCATCCTGCTGTGGATCTGATCCTGCTGTGGATCTGATCCTGCTGTGGATCTGATCCTGCTGTGGATCTGATCCTGCTGTGGATCTGATCCTGCTGTGGATCTCATCCTGCTGTGGATCTCATCCTGCTGTGGATCTGATCCTGCTGTGGATCTCATCCTGCTGTGGATCTGATCCTGCTGTGGATCTGATCCTGCTGTGGATCTCATCCTGCTGTGGATCTGATCCTGCTGTGGATCTCATCCTGCTGTGGATCTGATCCTGCTGTGGATCTGATCCTGCTGTGGATCTCATCCTGCTGTGGATCTGATCCTGCTGTGGATCTGATCCTGCTGTGGATCTGATCCTGCTGTGGATCTGATCCTGCTGTGGATCTGATCCTGCTGTGGATCTCATCCTGCTGTGGATCTCATCCTGCTGTTGATCTCATCCTGCTGTGGATCTCATCCTGCTGTGGATCTGATCCTGCTGTGGGAATTTAGCTAAAGAAACATTCTGACGTATGGATGCTAACTTTTCCCGGAGATCAGGGACTCTACTGCGATGCTGCATGTAATGAAGCCGGACAACCCAACATGTAGACGTCTTTGTGACGGCCTCATCAAGTGTTTTTTAAATGTTATTTTTTAAATAAATAGAATTTCAGTTTTAGGTTTTCTGATGTGCCGTCTGAGGGCAGCTTTTTTCAGGTTTCACTGATGCAAAAATCTGTTAAAAAGTTCAGGATAAAGTTTAATATCCCAGATGAGAACCACATCACCAGATTCCTCTCCTTCTCTAAAACCTGACATGGCTAAGATGGGGCGAACACATGAGATGGACACCAAGAAAAAAAAAAGCATCCAGCATCCTAAGATCTGAATGAAACCTATCAGTAGCTTTTTAAAAACAGAATTGTTTCTGTCAGCTGTTAACTGGTCTGGGGTGAATCAGTATTGGCCTGCGCTGCTTCCTGTAGCCACCAGATCCCACTCATAGGACCCAGAAAATCAGAGTTTTCCTGTTTGTTCTTTGACATAATGAAACAAAGTGTCCCTGTGAGAACACGTTTACAGCAGATTGACTCACATAGTTGGCATGTTTCTAAAGAAAGAAAGAAAAGAGGAAAAATAAAGCTGTCTGTTTCTGTCTGTTGGTACTAAGAAGGACAAACTTCTCCTCTTTCATCTCCTCATCCTCACTTCTTCATCTTCTTTCCTCTGAATGTCCAATAACAGCTTCTTTCTTCAGAGCTTCACTGCTGCTTATTTCCAACGCCTCTGATTGGCTGACAGTTGACTAACAAGTGTCCTTGGGTGTTGCGATAAGGCGCTTTCAAAATAAATGTATTAAGCTCCGCCTCCTCGCTGCATTTTTAGCTGCCACTAGATGGAAATGCCCACTCCTCCTTATAGTCCTTCCTTCTTCTCTTGCCCTCTAAGGTGCTTCTCTTCTCCTCGTTGCTCCCTTCGTTACCTTTCGCCTTTGCTGCGTCCTTCCTTCCTTCCTTCCTTCCTTCCTTTCCTCTCTCCTCCTGTCGGTGTTAAACTCCAGTGTCATCTGCAGGACGAGGAGGTCCTCGAGGAGGTCCCCGGGGAGGAGACGGAGGACGGGATTCGCGAGACGACTTCTATGACCAGCAAGGAGGAGGTGGGGTCAGATGGCCAATCAGAAGGCAGCTAGCTAGGCTTCCTCCAATCAGACGGCAGGAGGGTGTACCCGACTAATAAACCTGAATAATCCAGTCATTTCAAAGGCCTTTTTGAAATTCCCTACAAAAACGAAATCTAAACTAATCATTATTAGTGAATTAATGAAGAAGCATTGAGTTGCTCCAAGCGTCCAGCAGGTGGCAGTGAACCTCTGTTCTTTCCCATCACTTCATCCTCATGCCGCACTTCTGCGCTGCTCGGCCGCCTCACCTTTCTGCTCTTCTCCGCAGGTTTCCGAGACGACGATTACATGGGGGGGCGGGGTCGAGGGGGCAGCAGTCGTCCCAGCGAGAGGCCGCGGGGAGGTGGAGGAATGGGTCGCTTCAGAGAGGGACCACCACCCCGCGGGGCAACGACAGACTTCAGAGAACCATCTGAAGGTGGCGCCACCTACTGTTTCTAGCTTGAAATCATCCGTTTGACTCTTAAAGATGGACGTGACTGATGGATTCACAAAGGTTGATAAACTCTGCAGGCTTTCAATAGGTCTACTTTTCTAAAGTAGAATCCTTTTCTCTCAGCCTGGGGAAATTAAATTTTGCTTTTTGATAATTGGAGTTTATCGATCATACACACATCTCAGCTTTGCCCCCAAAAATAAAAATGCATATATATTTATAACTACTTACTTCATATTTATTCATGAATATAATCTAATTATATTCATTTTTAAATAGATTTATTTTAGTTCATTATTTTTAGGATCCTTACTTCAGACTTTCAAAATAAAAGGCTTGGATTGTCTTCAAAATAAGTGCTTGTATCTGTGACCTGACGTTGATGCTGACGTCGGTGTTTCTGTGTCTGCAGAGGAGCGTGCACAGCGGCCCCGCCTCCAGCTGAAACCTCGGACTGTCTCTGAACCGCTCAACCAGGTCGCCAACCCCAACTCCGCCATCTTCGGCGGAGCCAAGCCGCGAGAAGAGGTGATCTCAAAGGAAAAACCATAAGAGACTGAAGGCCTTTGGGTGGGGGTGGGGGGGTAACAGAGGGGAGGAGGGCGGGTTAGGGGTGGGGGGGTCACTCAGTTGTACTTTGGGTTGAAAAAACGAACCAAAACAAACCAGGACGATTGAAGGGGGACAGTTAACATTCTTTCAGAAAGCCAAACGGACGGACGGCGAGTGGACGCTGACTTCCCCCCCTCCTTCTTCTTCCTCTCTTTGTTTGAGCAGAATATTTATTCTTAACGGGAATAACTGGGAAACACTCTCAGACACTCTGTTGTCCCATAACCAACCTGTAAACACAGCGAGCAGCTCGATGCATGTCCAATCTCTGGTTTCTGCCCCGCCACCACACCTCTGCTTACTGTGATGTCATACCTGCATCCTCCTGTAGCCCCTCCCCCCAGCAGGTCAGACCTGCACCAGACTTACCCCTGAGACCTCATTGGTCCAACTGTAGATAACTTTTTTTTTTCAGCCCCTGTCCCTCCTTTTTTAACGTTTCCATGGTGACTGGTCATATTTTTCAGGTTTTATTTATCTGCTTGACTTTAATTTTTTTACTCCTAACGGGGCGGGGTTTAACTTACAGGCTCCACCTCAAGGAACAAAAGTAACACACCTACAATGTGTTCCCACCTGTTGAGGTGGAGGGCTAAGAAATGATGCCTTCACTGTCTGCAGGATTTCCTTCTCACGCTGCTGAGAAACGCTGCATTCAGGTCCTTTGTTAGAAAGGTGGAAAAAACCCAGAATGTCACGGAAATTGTAACCGACAAAATAAATGAAATAAAGTCTTAAGAGAGCCTGAAACTGAAGGAAGCACAGGTGACTGGTGGGGGGTGTGGCTTTCTACACTTGGTTGTGTCCAGTCAGGTTTCAGAATGGGACACACAGAGGAAAGAATCTCTGCTCTGATTGGTCCGTTGATCCACACTGAAAACTAAAAGAACGTTCCCAGTACTCTTCTGTGGGATCCCTAAGATCCGCTGGGAAAACGGCAAAGACAGAGGTGGTTGTAGAACCGCTTCGAATCACGTGCTGGTACTGGTTCTTATCCTGACCCGGGTCCTAAATCTGCTCCAGTTCTACCTCATCAGCCAACCTGATCTGGTCCAGAACTAGAACCCAGTTAGATCAGGGTCGGGATGTTCAGCCACAGAGACTGAAGGGCTGGTTAGCCTCCCCTCAGCAGTGTGTCGCAGTGAGCTTGTTGCAGACATTTTTGATTTATGCTCAATTTTGAAGCGTGGTCTGCGCTGTTATTCCACGCTACAACGCAAGAGGGACAATCAGGAACTAGCTGTGGGTCTAGATATGGCCGAGGCGGTGAGGAAGTTGGGGCAACAGACGACATGAGGGCAAAAAGAGCGGGGATCCAGATGGAAAAATGCTCCCAGCGTTGTCGCACACCTCGCTCTTCTAGCTGGTCCATCTTCACCAGTTTTCCACAATGGCGGTCAGACAAACAAAACAAGCCGGTAAGGTTTTGCTGCACCAAACAGGAACAGGAAGTGTAGAGCGGATGTAGATTTGACCAATCAGAGGCCTCCTGTCTGCGGCACTGTCTGTGGTCACCTACATTTTTGGAGAGGTGCAGCAGCGTGTCTGTAGAAGGGGGCCGAGGCACACCTGTATTCACTGCGACTCGCAGACGACCTGGTTTCTGTTTATAAACCAGCCTTGATCTGCGGACTGAAACATTATGAGCAACGTGTCTGAGTCCAGATTCAAGTAGTCTGCAGATTTCTTGCAGTGTGGAGCAAACTGAACCCAGTTCTCTTGTTCCGGTTCCTATAGTGTGTTTGAGAACGCTAAGGAATGTCGGGCTTTTAGGTGCAGCAATCACAGCTCTGCTTGGTTCTGCTTTTCCACCGTGAGAACTGGAGCTGCTCTTTTTCTAGAGCAGGAATCTGCAGCCTACGGCTCCAGAACCACACGCAGTTCTAATCGAACCCGATAATCAATTATCTTAAATATTAGGGCAGTAACTTGTCTTCTTTTATCATTTTAAGGGGCAAACCTTGGTTCTTGTCTTTCTAATTAACATCATATAAGTCCTGCATTTATGAATGAATAAACTCTTTATTTCGGCCAGATTTCATTTTGACGCCTCTGTTGCAAAAGGGGCTGTTGAAATTGAAAAGGTTGCAGACTCCTGTTCTAGAGGAAAAGGTTCTCGGTTGAGAATCTACAAAATCGGAGAAAACCTGCTCAGCTCTGATCTTAAAGGGGTTCTGAACAGAAACCCTGAAGATCAGCAGGTTTTCCTTTTTTCTCCCATTTATTTTTCTATTTGATTTTCAGAATTCTGGCGTTTTGGAGGTTGTGCTGATCGGATGGCTAATGAAGGCCAGAAAAAGAGGTTCTGAATTGGTTCTGAACTGTTCTGTTTAAATTCATATCTGCTTCTTTTTCTCCTTCTTTCTGTGCTGCGTCTCCTCTCCCCGACTCTGCTTCCACCTGTCTTTGAATGCAGCACTGACTCGTTTAAAGCCGCCGCCACAGACTCCCGACCAGACGGTGGCGCTAACACGCCTTGTTGCCAACCCCAGAAGAAGAAATTAGAGGTTTTGTTTGATTCAGTGTGGATCAGACGCAGACTTCCACTGAGATAAATGTTGTAAAGTCCAAACTCTTCCTGTCCAATAAAGCTGGATCTTTGGTTTGTAGCTCCAACTGTAACGTGTGCTTCTTTGATTTGATGAACTAGGTCCAGTTCTGCCAGTCCACTTGGATCAGGACCAGTCTGGGTTCGGTTTCAGTCTGACAGAGCGGTTTTTTTTTTTTTTTTTTTTTTCTTTAGCGGGACAGTAAAAGGAAAACGTTTTTTTTTTTCTTAACCTGCCGATTCTTTTTTTTTTTTGTTCCCACTCTGTTTATTGCAATAAAATTGTGTCATCATCATCCAACACCAACCCTGGTGAGTTTGATTTCATGGGGGGGGTGGGTCTTCAGCCTGGGGGTCATTTGAGGCCCTTTGGAATCAGTGGAGACGGGTGTATCTGGTGCAGATGGACACATTTACTTTTCTAGTGTGAGATTTCACTGAAACGATGTCTTATATGAAACATGTTGGCTGCAATAAAAGTATTTTTCTTTGATTAGTCATGTTTCTTTTGCTGTTATTCTAATATTCTGAGGATTTACTGAGCTACACTGGAAAAAAAATCGAAAATTAAAGTCATTTTTCTTAAAATAAGTGCATTTGTTCTTTGATTGAGGAGGTAAAAGAGACATTTTGCCAATGGAACAAGACAATTTACACTTAAAATAAGAAAACACAATTGCTTTGTCTTATTTCAAGTACATATTATATAATTATCTTATTTTAAGAATAAAAATACCCATTCCATTGGCAAACTCCCATTTACCTACTCAAATTAAAGCTAAATACACTTAATTTAAGACATTTTTACTTATTTCTAGATTGTTTTTCCAGTGTAAATGCAGCCAGGGGGGATTTGGAGGAATGTTCCTGTTGCTGGGAGTAAAATAAAAAGTTAGGAAACATTTTGGAGCTTTTTATTCCAGGTTTGTAGTAATGGGATCGATGCACAACTCTACCGCTCCCCCTACTCAAGGCAGCGTCTTACTTTTGTCTTTTATTGGTGAATAATCCAGGTGTGTCTTGCATTTGTCGTCATGGTTACGGAGGTAGGCACACCTCGATTAATCAGTTTATGCCGTAATAAAAGACAGGAAGCAGGATATGAAGTTCAGGAAGTAGTGGAGTTAAACATAGAGCCCTTTCCTTCATTTCTGCTTGGTTTCATGTGAATATGACAGGTTTGGTTTTTCTCTTTGCAGCTAAAATAAAAAAATCATGATTGAATTATTTTGTTTTAAATAAAAATCCATCTGAAACATGTTGGACCCTTGATTATGTTAGAATCCTTTGAAGATGAGGAGAACGGTCGGTGAAGAGATCTTTTAAAAATGGACTCATGTTTCATTTAACCTCATTTTTGTTATGGACTGTTATTAAAAAAAAATTAATGTTTCATCCAGACAATATCTCTGTGGTTGGACTCTACTGCACCAACTTGTTCGCCACATACAAAAATAACTTCAACATGATGCACAGATAATTGGAAAATTGTTGCCATAAGTTATAAAACTAGGCTGCTCAGTGTCACAGTGGGTAGCACTGATGCCTTGCAGCAAGAAGGTTCTGGATTCGATTCCCGGCCCGGGGTCTTTCTGCATGGAGTTTGCATGTTCTCCCTGAGCATGTGTGGGTTCTCTCCGGGTACTCCGGCTTCCTCACACAATCCAAAAACGTGACTGTAAGGTTAATGGGCTTCTCTAAATTGTCCTTAGGTGTGAGTGGTTGTTTGTCTCTGTGTTGCCCTGCGATGGACTGGCGACCTGTCCACAGTGGACCCCGCCTCTCACCCATTGACTGGTGGAGATAGGCACCAGCACCCCTCGTGACCCCAATTGGGACAAGCGTGTCAGATAATGGATGGATGGATGAAGTTATAAAACTTAGAAACTTAAGTATAAAGAAGTTATCGTCCAGAATTGTAGAAAAATGTTCCTTTAATGGGCTAGTGCAGTAAAGCATCTTTCCTTAACATTTTGTCCTGCATTGCTTTTACTTTTATACTTTAAGTAGTTTTATAAATGCTAATTTTACACTTAAAGTAAAAAGCTTAAGTTGATACTCAAAAGTGCTTTTAAACAGAAGATTAATCTGAATCCGTATGACCTCTGCAGGCCTTGCTGGCTGTAAGGGCTCAAACCTCCTACTGCTCTAACTATCTGCAGTAAAGGTTTAATGTTTTCTTGTTGGGTGAATCGAGCATTAATCGGTTTAACACAAGGAGCTCAACCTGCCTGTTCTTGGTAGAACATGGCTGGATTCTGTAAAATCTTGGACCTTCCTGGATGGACGGCCTGTTAAAGACCCCTAAAGCACCACTAAAACAGGAAGAACCAATTTCTCTACCAGTGAAGTGTTATCAATGGGAAAAGTTAATTAACTTTTGGTGCATAACTCACCATGCAGCGGTTAGAGGCACTGTGCTTTGAATCTGCCAGCATTAGATGATCCGGCTGGATTGACAGGGCCTGTTATATTGGGGGGGGGAGTGGGGCTATTCACCACATTGTATTGATTTATATCAGAAAACAAGACACAATGGATGAATTCTAAAAAAATATATACATATATGGATTATGTATCTATCTCAGCTCGGACTGGAAATGATTTTCAGCCCTAATACACATTGTGGATTAACCGATCAATCTTCAAGCATCACATGACAACCATCACCAAGACTTCTATAATGTGGTTTTACTGGCTTTGGTTATTAACACGGACGCGAAAGTGACTGCTGCTGCATAACATCCACACTCCACCAAAAAATATTCATAAGCCGCCTGGATATACGAAGTCTCGCCCAAATAGAACCAAAGTCTATTGATCTCTTAGGCCACAAATCTAAGGAAAACCATTTTTTACCCATAGGCGGCCATCGTAAACTGCCAGATTGGGAAACATCCCAACGTGGCAACAATGCACATAAGACGGGAACGTTAGCCTTTAGCAAAAACCCATAATGTACTGCAACATATATTATTTAGTTTCTTGCAAGGATTTTACAGTTTGAAGAAATAGAAAATTATCCATATGCCAACCGTCACAAGGATGTGCATGACAAGGAAGGGCTATATATACTGCATGCATCATTTATGGAGTTAACATTGTATTACTTCTTGAGATCCTTGAGCTGTTAACTGTCACAGGTAGGTGCTTCGGCCAGAGAGTAAAAGGACCGGTATGATTTAAGGAGGGCCGGTCCTCCAATTAGAACCGGCCTATTTAAGATTTAGTGGTCCTTAGCCCACCACAGATTACCAGTCCGAAACCTGATTTATATATATATTCACCTATGGGATGATTTAGTCACAGCAGCTTCTTGTAACCTGAAATAATCCAAATGTTCAATTTCATGGATTCCTAGCAGGGATGTGAGAACTGGTTCTGATTTGATCTGCTAGTCAGGCGCTGTGGATGAGCCTCGGTGGTCTGAGCCCAGTGAAGAGGCTGTTGCAGCGACCTCTAACCCACCGACTGTTTCGACAGGAACCATTTATTCTGACACTGATTCTAGGATAACACTTTCAGAGGAGGTCAAAATCTATGTACAAAACTGCATCAAGCCCAAAAATAACAATGCAACAGACTGGTGAAACACAAAAATACAAATACTTTTTTCACTTTATATACAAATAAAGAAGGATTATTTTAAAATGTACATTGAATTAATCATTTTAAATAAATTTTTTGTGTTTAAGGTATTCATTTTTTAGCTTATGGTATATTTACTGTAATTCTGCAGTGATTACATTCAAATTTGATTAAACAAATTTTTAAAATAAGATTTAAATATTTACAAATGAATTTAAATAATGTGACATTTAATAGTTTCATTTTACAGAGGTCAGCGCTTCATTTTATGCTATGTTTACTATAATTTTTAAATAAAATAAATACAATTTAGATAAAAACATAATGTGATTTTATCAACTTTTCAAACATATTTACTAAATGACGGTTCAATAATTTCAAGTATATATTTTATTTTTTTATTCTTTTTTATTCCACCATAAAATCTTGTATATTTACTGAAATATTTTAATTTATAAAATGACATTTAAAGTGCAGTAAATACATACAATTTTAAATACATACTTTCTTATTTACTGGGACATTCGAGGGGGTAAAGGTGTATTTTATATTCTAATCATGTATTGAATAAATAAATGTTGAGTAGTAATATTTCATGGTACATTTACAGTCATTTTTACTATTTTTACTATTTGCAAGGCTGCACTTTTAAAAAGATGAAATTGTCCAGTGAGCTGTTTCTAAAGGAAATTTATTTTTGTTTTACACTTGTGTAAACAAAATGACAAATAAAATCTATCTAAAATCTATTTATTGATTTCTGTCTTATTAATGTCTTAAGTAATTTAGTAATCATATAGTTACCTGCAATATACAGGCTATAAAATATGTCATTTGCTGAAAGATTAACCTGGACAGAGGAGTAAGTAAACCAAAACTGTACAAATAAACATTTTCCATTTAAAATGAAATATCCTCTCGTACTCGTACTCGTCGTCTCCCGCTTTATCCGGAACCGGGTCGCGGGGGCAGAAGACTAAGCAGAGACTCCCAGACTTCCCTCTCCGCAGACACCTCCTCCAGCTCTGTTGGGGGAAGCCCTAGGCGCTCCCAGGCTCCCAGGCCAGCCGAGAGACATAGTCTCTCCAGCGTGTCCTGGGCCGTCCCCTGGGCCTCCCCCCGGTGGGACATGCCTGGAACACCTCCCGAGGGAGGCGTCCAGGGGGCATCCGAAGAAGATGTCCGAGCCACCTCAACTGACTCCTCTCGATGTGGAGGAGAACCGGCTCTACACTGAGCCTCTCCCGAATGACCGAGCTCCTCACCCTATCTCTAAGGGAGAGCCCAGCCACCCTGCGGAGAAAGCTCATTTCAGCCGCTTGTATCCGGGATCTCGTTCTTTCGGTCATGATCCAAATTTCATGACCATAGGTGAGGGTAGGAACGCAGACCGACCGGTAAATTGAGAGCTTTGCCTTTTCGCTCAGCTCTCTCTTCACCAGGACAGACCGGTGCAGCGTCCGCAGTATTGCAGCAGCCGCACCGATCCGTCTATCGATCTCCCGCTCCATTCTTCCCTCACTCGTGAACAGGACCCCAAGATACTTGAACTCCTCCACTTGAGGCAAGGACTCCCCTCCAACCCGAAGGGGACATGCCACCTTTTTCCGGTCGAGAACCATGGCCTCGGATTTGGAGGAGCTGATTCTCATCCCAGCCGCTTCACACTCGGCTGCGAACCGCCCCAGCGCACGCTGTAGGTCTTGGCAGGAGGGAGCCAGCAGAACTACGTCATCCGCAAAAAGCAGGGACGAGATCCGCTGTTCCCCAAACCAGACCCCCTCCGGTCCTTGGCTGCACCTAGAAATCCTGTCCATAAAAGTTATGAACAGGACCGGTGACAGAGGGCAGCCCTGTCGGAGTCCAACATGCACCGGGAAGAGGTCCGACTTAATGCCGGCAATGCGAACCAGACTCCTGCTCCGCTTGTACAGAGAATGGATGGCCCCTAATAAAGGGCCCCCGACTCCATACTCCTGGAGCACCCCCCACAGGGCAGCACGAGGGACACGGTCGAATGCCTTCTCCAAGTCCACAAAACACATGTGGACTGGTTGGGCAAACTCCCATGAACCCTCAAGCACCCTGCAGAGGGTGTAGAGCTGGTCCACCGTTCCACGGCCAGGAAGAAAACCACACTGCTCCTCCTGCAGCCGAGGTTCGACAATCAGCCGGACTCTCCTCTCCAGCACCCTGGCATAGGCCTTTCCGGGGAGGCTGAGAAGTGTGATTCCCCGATAGTTGGAACACACCCTCCGGTCCCCCTTCTTGTGGAGGGGAACCACCACCCCAGTCTGCCAATCCAGGGGAACTGTCCCCGACCTCCACGCGATGTTGAAGAGACGTGTCAACCATGACAGCCCGACAACATCCAGAGCTCTGAGATACTCAGGACGGATCTCATCCACCCCCAAAGCCTTGCCACCGTGGAGTTTTTTGACTACCTCGGTGACTTCAGCCCGGGTGATGGACGAACCCAGCCCCAAGCACCTCGTCTCTTCTTCCCCCACGGAAGGCATGTCTGTCGGGTTGAGGAGATCCTCAAAGTATTCCTTCCACCGCCCGACAATATCCTCCTTCAAGGTCAGCAGCTCCCCGCACCCACTAAAAACAGTGTTAGTGAAGCACTGCTTTCCCCTCCGGAGGCGCCGGATGGTTTGCCAGAATCGCTTTGAGGCCAACCGATAGTCTTTTTCCATGGCCTCTCCGAACTCCTCCCAGGCCCGAGATTTTGCCTCTGCAACCGCCCGGGCCGCGACACGTTTGGCCTCACAGTACCTGCTTGCTGCTTCAGGAGTCCCACAAGCCAGCCAGGCTCGATAGGACTCCTTCTTCAGCTTGACGGCATCCCTTACTATCGGTGTCCACCACCGGGTTCGGGGATTGCCACCACGACAGGCACCGCAAACCTTACGGCCACAGCTACGGGCAGCCGCATCGACAATAGAGGCAGAGAACACAGCCCATTCGGACTCCATGTCTCCAACCTCCCTCGGAACCTGAGAGAAGCTCTCCCGGAGGTGGGAGTTGAACACGTCTCTGACCGAGGGCTCCACCAGACGTTCCCAGCAGACCCTCACTACACGTTTGGGCCTGCCGAGTCTTTCAGGCTTCCTCCTCTTCCAGCGTATCCAACTCACCACCAGGTGGTGGTCGGCGGACAGCTCCGCCCCTCTCTTCACCCGAGTGTCCAAGACATGCGGCCGAAGATCAGAAGATACGACTACAAAGTCGATCATCGACCTTCGGCCTAGGGTGTCCTGGTGCCAAGTGCACCGATGAAATATCCTTTCTTCATAAATACACTACATCTTGAATTCTAGTTTCAGCTTCACCTGGTTCTGACCAAAGTCCATCCGTCCATTTTCTGTGACACTTATCCCTGCTGGGGTGGTGAGGGGTGCTGGTGCCTCTCCCAAGCTGTCAGTGGATGAGAGGCGGGCTCCACCGTGGACAGGTCGCCAGTCCATCGCAGGGCAACACAGAGACAAACACAACAAACAACCATTCACACTGCAAAAAATCTAAATCTAAATAAGTCATTTTTTCTTAAAATAAGTGCAGTTGTTCTTGAATTGAGAAACTAAAAGAGACATTTTGCCAATGGAACAAGACAATTTACACTTAAAATAAGAAAACACAATTGCATTGTCTTATTTCAAGTGCATATTACCTAATTATCTTATTTTAAGACTAAAAATACTCATTCCATTGGCAAACTATCTCATTTACCTGCTCAAATTAAGGGTAAATACACTTAATTTAAGAAATTTTTTACTTATTTCTAGATCGTTTTTGCAGTGCACACTGCAAAAAAATCAAAATCTAGATAAGTAATTTTTTCTTAAAATAAGTGCACTTGTTCTTGAATTGAGGAAGTTAGTAAGAAACCCTGCCAATGGAACAAGACAATTTACACCTAAATAAGAAAACACAATTGTATTGTTGTATTTCAAGTGCATATTATCTAGTTATCTTATTTTAAGAGTAAAAATACTCATTCCATTGGCAAACCATCTCATTTACCTACTCAAATTAAGAGTAAATGCACTTAATTTAAGAAATATTTACTTATTTTTAGATCGTTTTCCCACTGCACTCACACTAAGGAGAATTTAGAGAAGCTGATTAACCTAGCAGTCATGTTTTTGGACTGTGGTAGGAAGCCGGAGTACCCAGAGAGAACCCATGCTTGCACAGGTAGAAAATCCAAACACGCAGAAGGACCCGGGGCCGGGATTCGAACCTGAAACCTGCAAGGCAGCAGTGCTACCCTCTGTGACACTATGCAGCCCACACCAAAGTTACCAAAAACAAATTTGAAACGCCCAAAAAAGCATAAATTGAATCAGCTGCTGTTCTTTAACCATTTGGAGGGCGTACCCTGATATATAAAGCGTTGAAAGCCTTATTGTGGCAGGTTGAGCCACAGACGTTCCAAGAACACGACATGATGAAAAAAGGTTAAACATGCAAAAAAAATATTAATAGTATTAGGCCCCGTCCACACGAAGACGAACCCTGGCCTAAACGCACAAATTTTTCACCAAACCAGCCTCTCGTCCACACGAAGCCGGCGTTTCGGGGGTCTGTAAACGATCATTTTTTTATTCACCCTTCAGAGTGGGAAGATTCTGAAACGCCGTATTCGTGTTTCCATCTTTACACCCTAACCGCATTTTTTTTTTACATGCATGCGTCATAGCGTCGCCTCTAAACACGCAAGCGTGACACATCACAACAACAATGGCGCCGTTGCTGCTAATGCTACTCACCCTGCTGTCGGGCTGGTCGGGCTTACAACAGAATCTTCTTCTGGATTATCTCCAGGAAGAACAGAGCAATATCGACCACATAGTTCAGCACCTGAATTTGACTTAACCACGAAAATAGACCCGCAGGGCAACCATGTATAAATATTAGTGCGCATGCCCAACATTTCGCTTATTTTTGCTTTGGCACCACAGCGCCACTTACAGGCCTGGCATACATTTTGCAGCGTTTTCATGCATTTGTGTGGACGCTCACATTTATTTTACGTCTCCGTCTTTACGGCAAACGTTTTGGAAAATATCAGCGTTTCGTGTTCGTTTTGACTTCGTGTGGACGGGGCCTTAGGCATCTTTTGGCTACATGATTATTAATAATAATCCATTAGTTGTAAAAGTAGTGAACTAGTTAACCACTTAGCAAAACAGCTGTTAGTTTATCTATCTCTCAAAGTAAAGGCTGACATAAGATTAGAGCCAGGAAGAGTTTTATCACCACATGCATTCTGATTTTGCTATATGTAGTGAGGACCATGTGTTGACCTCCCCCTTTATTGTCAGTTATTTTTAACCCTTTCTATGCTCAAACTCTGACAGCAGCCATTAACCTAACCATTACCAATTCATACCTCGCCTTAAACCAAACTCAATGCACACCTTAGCCCTAAACTTTAGCCTTTGCAAAAAAGCTCTAGAAGACCAGGAAATTGTCCTCACTGTGATGCCAAGACAGGGAACACAAACAGACACGCTGGAGGTGGGAAATAAAGATGGAACATGAAAGTTTTCAGGTTTTTATCAGATTTTATGTGTGTGCATTAGTTGGGATAATTTAATTCAGGTTATGAGTTTTTATATACAGATTAATTTAAAATGTGAAATAAATGTTGAAATTTTTTTCTCTTTTACAGGGTTACTTAATTATTATATCATCTCCATTTCTACTGCATTAATATAGAAATCATTATACATACAAAAAAAAAACAATAATTGTTTCTTTGGGGCCCTCTAGTTACCCTTGGGCCCTAAGCAGTCACACCATTGGCCCATGCTGAGGGCCTTGCTTTAATATGTGTCGTTATGTTTCTGGGGTTTTATCCATGGTTCTGGTGTGGAGGCCCAGTCCATTTCATCCAGGCAGATTTCTTCTATATAAAACTGAATTCTAACAACCATACCATGCATGTTGCTTTAGACTAGACTATATTAATTAGGCTATGTATGCTTCCAAAAAAAAAAAAAAAATCCACCAGCCCCCTTCTTTTTAGTATCAAATATGCGCCCTTTTGACACCACTGCACATTTGTTACTTTAGTAGAAGTATAGATACTGCAGTTTAAAAACACTCTGGTAAAAGTTTAAGTATCAACTTGACCTCTTTACTCAAGTAAAAGTGAAAAAGTATGTGCTCCAAAAACTACAGAGAAACTACAAATGCGTTATATGACTCATCCGATTTTACTCGTTTTCAGTAGATGTGGATGAAGCTAATGATCTACATTGGATGGCACAAATAAAATAAATATTTATGAGCATTAAACCGAAGCCAAGATTAACGAGTAACGTCTGTTTTATAAATGTTTTTATAAAACATTTAAATAAATGTTTTTTTTTATAAAATATTTATAAATGTTTTTGTAAATGTAAGGAATAGAAAGTACAGATACTTGTGTGAAAATGTAATGAGTGGGAAGAAAAATAATCACTGGAGTAAAGTATAGATACCAAAAAAGTGTACTTAAGTACTTCGTTACTTGACACCTCTGCAAATGTGTGTACTTTTGACATCACTGGTGCACATTATTGCCTGGCCCCCCTTATTAAAATGTTCTGGCTACGCCTCTGTCTGGATCTGATGAAAACTTGAGAACCTTTAATATTCTGTCTTTATTTCCCACCTCTAGTGAGTCGATCTGCACAGGGGTGTGTGCTCGTATAAGTGTGAGTGTGTGGGTGTGAGTGAGTGAGTGTGTGTTGGTGTATGGGTGAGTGTGTGGTTATAAAAACTCTTCCTGGTTCACTTCTTATCTTCGTCTTTACTTTGACTTTATCCCCCTGCTCCTCCATGTTGAAACCTCGTCATATTAACTTGTTAACCGGTTAGTAGCCTGAGGGCTCAGCCTGCTGCTAGTTAACCAACAGTAACTCATCGCTAAGTTAGCCTTTGAGTCTTAGCGGTGGCTCTCCTGCCTCTAACAGGTAAGCAGGTCGGTTAAACTTGTCGGTTGTGTTTCTAACGGCTAACCAGGTAAGTTTAAACTGGTTGGAAGCCGAACCGGATCTGGTTTCTTTGTTGTTTTAAGTTAGTTTTTCTATTTTTCGCCGTTTAGAAACTTGTAGAATTAGCCTGGTGTTAGCCCGACTAGCCTGCTAGCAGGCTGGGGTACTTTCCAGACTCTACAGCCGGACTCGGTTAACCAAAGGCTCGATTCAACACTTCTTTCTGTTTTTTCATTACGTTTGCTAAACTAAAACACTAACTCTGGTTACATTTTATTAAATATAGGATAAACTATCATTCGGCCTAAGTAAAACTGATTAGAGAAAAACTAATAGTTGTGTCCTAATTAAAGTGTCCTAACTTGGCAGAATTGAAGTTCAGGTAGATGTCTGTAATTACAGTTGAGTAATAATCATATTTAATTAAATGTCTGTCCGAACTTTTCCAAAAAAGTGTTTGAAATTGATTATATTTACTCTAAAAAAAAAGAATGTAGTTAGATATTTGGTGTAAAATAAATAAAAAAATGAAAGTAAAAGTTTTTTTTTTTCTGTGGTTCGGTGTGACGTCATCTGTAAACAAACCCAGTTTGTGGTGAAATTGTCTGGTTTTGATTTTAATAACAGCAGAAGTTCCAGCCAACAAATAAGTCAAATGGAAATTCCTGCAAAGTCCCAAATTCATAAATCTTTAATATTTATTTTTTTGGTCTGATAATCCTGCCAGATGAAACATGATACCACACTGGGAAAACGATCTAGAAAGAAGTAAATATTTCTTAAATAAAGTGTATTTATCCTTAATTTGAGTAGGTAGGTGATTTGCCAGTGGAATGAGTATTTTTACGCTTAAAATACGATAATTAGATAAAATGCACTTGAAAAGAAATAAGACAATGAGAGGCAAAATCTTTTAGCTCCTCAATTCAAGGTTAAATGTGCTTATTTTAAAGTACTTATTTAGAGTTTGATTTTTTTCCCCAGTGCAGATTGACCGGTCATGAAATATAAAAGGAAAACATGTTGAGTAAGGAAATATTAAGGGAGCCATTTGATATCTACTATTGTCATGTGTAAAAATTGTGTATGGTACAATCTTTGTGTTTACTGAGGAGATAAAGGTATTTTAGCCACAGTAAACACGGCGCTATTAATTGAAGTAAAATCTTTTATCTGTCATAAATGATTTGGATTCTAATTGAGTCCAAAGTCCGATCCCAATCCTCCTCTGAAGCAAACGTCTTCTCTGTAGTCTTTTAAAATGCTTTGGATCAATTTCTTTTCTTAACTTTATTGAACTAAATGGTCGCACAAATGTAGACCTTGAAAAATGTATAAGAATAACATAGTATTGAAGAGTTAAAAGATAAACAATAAAATACTGTAAAGTGTTTTAACAATATAAAACTGTGCACATGGAGAATAAATAATTGATATACATCTATGGACATTTTTACAGTAATCGATATTTTAAAATAGACAAAATAGAAATGACAGCAGCATGTTATTTAACTGACTAAGGTTTATATCATTATATTTGCTTTTATTTTTTCATGACCCTGGTGGTTGGTACATTTATTCTACTCTGGATTGTCATCTTTGTTTACTTTACCATAAAGTGTTTTTTAAATTTTTTTTTTAAAGAAACAGTTTTGAAAAGTTCTGTATTCATTCCATTCCTGCTTTGTTTGTCAACTGTCATGGTTGCTAAGCGACAGAGCATACGGCGGTAAAAGCCGCTGAAGAGTAGACCTGTTTGAATTCACAGCCAAAACTCTTCCAATCTCCTTATTTTCATGGACTTCGAAGGATCCAGTCCAGGGAGACTGCGTCCTTGGAGGATAGCCCATGAATTCGAACAGAGCCCTCTGTCTGACAAACACATTTGGATTCCTTTTATTTTGCCGAATCCTTAAAAAAAAGAAAGAAAAAAAAAAGAAAACTTTTGAGACATATGCTAAGATTATCTCGGCAACAAAATTTTTTCCTCAAAGATCAACAATGGGATTATGTTAATGCTGGCATGCCCAAAGTCGGTCATCATTAATAGCTGATTAACAGGCTTTTGCTGAACTGCAATCAGCTGTGCTAAAGCAGGGAAACCTCTAAAACCTGCAGGACAGCGGCCCTCGTGCCTGTCTTAAATGTCTGTGTATCCATTATCCTCTGATTAAGCTAAACAAGAAAAATGAAGACTTAAAATCTATCCAGGCAAAAAGTGAAAGCCACATCTTTAAAGGATATTTCATCAGAGGGGACCTGAAAGCTGCCTCTTCCTCTCTGCTTCATGTGACAAAGTCTCTGTTGAAATGCTGGAATTACTGAGATGAAACGGAACAAACAGAAAAAATCAGAGGAAGCTAGCCGAAGCTCGGTCACTAAAGCTGGGTATCTTCAGCTTACATCTCAGATCGTCTTCTTGCACCCAGCGAAAGCTGCATTCAACAGAGTCGGAGACAATAAAATAATTTAAATTAAAGCAAAAATAATAAGAGCCAAGGATGCCATCAGGGAGAATAAACAGAAAGAATAACCTTTAAAATGTTACTGAAAAAGCAAACGGGTCGGGTCCGAGTGAACTTCTGTCTGTAAAACATGGCAGATCTTCCTCATGATCTGTACCACTGAAAAGTATGAAAAAGTTCTGGATGTTTAATTAGACCTAGAGGTGTTTAACGAGGTGCTGCTTCATTTGTGTTCTGAATGTCACTATAGCAACAGGGCAAGATCAAATGGTTATCAATCAGTTTAGTTAAGACGGCAGTGTTATATGCTGAGTAATTTCGTTCTGCTTGTTTGCTATTTTTAAGCAACTTTGGATCCAAGTATTAACTTAATTTTAAATGTATGGAATGAATTTTCAGGACTTGATTTGTAACATTGCTTCCTGCTATGGTGTGAATTTTGTTCCATTATTATTGCTGAAAGCAAAGAATATGTTTTGTAAATAGTAATTTGAAACTGTTGCTATCCAGAAAGGAAACTCCGAAAAAAAAGAGTAATTTTAAGTTTTCTCAGATTTTAGTTATAGTTTTAGACCATTTATCTGAATGTTATTTTTTTTTGTCAGTATTTCTATTGGCTGTTTACAGAAGGATTTGGAGGGTCTGGATTTTTAGAACATTTGTGTTTAACAGCTTTATGCTGAATTACCTGAGTGCTGAATTAGAGGAACAGTTTTTCATGTGTTGTCTTCAGGATGTTTGCATCCTGCTGTAACTGGCTCTGCATGGACTCCACTGACGTGGACGCGTCACAAGACAGAAGACATCAGTCCTACACCAACTCTGCCTTCAGCTCCCAGCCGTCTCCTCCTCCGCCTGAACATACCTGTAAGGCCTGTGGTGGCGCCTTCGACACAAACGCCAGGAAGGTAACTCCGCTCACCTGCTGCAGGCCTTTATGCCCTTGAAGCAGATGATGATGGCGCCATTTAGTCAACATTAAATGTACAAATACAGTCAGATACTGACTGAATAAGGACACTGAATCTTTATTCTGTAAAAAAGGGGGAAAAAAAAAAGCTGAAGTGATGATCCGATGTTCTGTGGGAGAGTTCTAGGAGACTGATTTTCCACCCACAGGTTTTCATGTGTTCTGGTCCTGCTTGTTGGAGGGAGTTAAAATATTTAGTTTATTTATGCACAATGATTCTTTACTAATTTAGTTTTTAAAAACAAACTGAAATTCAGAACTTAAAAGGTTGGTTCCATCCACTTTAAAGTCAGGTAAATCCATTTCAAACCAGTCTTTCTCAAACAGTGGTACACCAGCGCCCTCTGGTGGTATGCAGGGAAAAAACCCAAGGCATTTTTTTACCATTCATTTCTGACACGCTTAATCCAGCTGTCTACTGGCGAGAGACGGGGTCCACCCTGGACAGGTTGCCAGTCCATTGCAGGGAAACACAGAGACAAATGGGACAAACAACCATTCACACACACTCACACCTACGGAGAATTTAAAGAAGCCAATTAACCTAACAGTCATGTTTCTGGACTGTGGGAGGAAGCCGGAGTACCCGGAGAGTACCCACGAATGCTCAGGGAGAACATGCAAACTCCATGCAGAAGGAGTTTGGCATACGAACCTGAACCTGGAAAAAGTGAAATATTAACACTAAAATTGTGTTTGATTAAAAATGAAAAGATTTGTTTCATGTGTGATGGTCTGATTTGATAAGATTTCACTATATTTCAGTATAACATAAATCATCTCAGGGTTTCCGCGGGTCATTGAAAATCATTAAAAGTCATTCACATATTATGGGATCTTTTTAAATTAAGGCCTTAATTGGCATTAAAATTTATTAAATGCGTTTATTGAGGCATTTAAAATACTTTATTTAAAAAAAATAAAAACGATTTCATCAGATATATTATCTCACAATATATATATATATATATATATATATATATATATATATATATATATATATATACACACACTCGCACTCACCGGCCACTTTATTAGGTACCCCATGCTGGTAACGGGTTGGACCCCCTTTTGCCTTCAGAACTGCCTCAATTCTTGGTGGCATAGATTCAACAAGGTGCTGGAAGCATTCCTCAGGGAGTTTGGTCCATATTGACATGATGGCATCACACAGTTGCTGCAGATTTGTCGGCTGCACATCCATGATGCGAATCTCCCGTTCCACCACATCCCAAAGATGCTCTATTGGATTGAGATCTGGTGACTGTGGAGGCCATTTGAGTACAGTGAACTCATTGTCATGTTCAAGAAACCAGCCTGAGATGATTCCAGCTTTATGACATGGCGCATTATCCTGCTGAAAGTAGCCATCAGAAGTTGGGTACATTGTGGTCATAAAGGGATGGACATGGTCAGCAACAATACTCAGGTAGGCTGTGGCGTTGCAACGATGCTCAATTGGTACCAAGGGGCCCAAAGAGTGCCAAGAAAATATTCCCCACACCATGACACCACCACCACCAGCCTGAACCGTTGATACAAGGCCGGATGGATCCATGCTTTCATGTTGTAGACGCCAAATTCTGACCCTACCATCCGAATGTCGCAGCACAAATCGAGACTCATCAGACCAGGCAACGTTTTTCCAATCTTCTACTGTCCAATTTCAATGAGCTTGTGCAAATTGTAGCCTCAATTTCCTGTTCTTAGCTGGAAGGAGTGGCACCCGGTGTGGTCTTCTGCTGCTGTAGCCCATCTGCCTCAAAGTTCGACGTACTGAGCGTTCAGAGATGCTCTTCTGCCCACCTTGGTTGTAACGGGTGGTTATTTGAGTCACTGTTGCCCTTCTATCAGCTCGAACCAGTCTGGCCATTCTCCTCTGACCTCTGGCATCAACAAGGCATTTCCGCCCACAGAACTGCCGCTCACTGGATGTTTTTTCTTTTTCGGACCATTCTCTGTAAACCCTAGAGATGGTTGTGCGTGAAAATCCCAGTAGATCAGCAGTTTCTGAAATACTCAGACCAGCCCTTCTGGCACCAACAATCATGCCACGTTCAAAGTCACTCAAATCACCTTTCTTCCCCATACTGATGCTCGGTTTGAACTGCAGGAGATTGTCTTGACCATGTCTACGAGCGCGCCTTGGGTGCTTGTGGATGGTATTAAAATGATTTCTAAGAGCATTAAATTAGAGTCACTCCTTCCTGTATTAACCCTAAAACATTAGGAAAATGCAAAAAATAAAAGATTAAGTAAAATATTTTTTACTTAATTATTTTATTGGACAATCATCAAAACTTTTGACGCAGAGGGGAACTCATGATAACACAAAATGCCCAAAGGGGAACACAAATCAAAAATTATTGGGAAACACTGCTCTAAATATAATTAGGGCTGCAACTAAAGATTATTTTGAAAATCGATGAATCGGACACAAAATATTTTTTTTATATTAACCGCTTTATTCCAAAATAAACATTTTAGACAGAACAAACAAGCACACAAGTACAGGTTTCTCATTAACTGTACTGGTGCAATATGAAAAATAAATGTTTGTGTTAAAACTACGCAAACTTACATGAGAAATGTAGCTGTACATCCACAAAATATAGGGTACTTTGTTTTATAAAGCGCAAAAAGAGACAGGCATTTTTGTTTTTTAAAGCCCCTAAGGGGTTCAAACAATAGGTCCCCCCATTTCAACAAATGAGGTTTTTTTAGACTAGAAGAGTTCTGCCTTTTAAGACAGGAAAGTATAGCAGTTAAAGTTGCTACTTGAGAAAATACTGAACCATAGAGATAAAAATAGCCCTGTGATTCAAATTATAAATTGTATTTGGAATAAAAATGAGAGAACTAGGGGTGCTAAAAAAACACATCCTCCAAAGACAGATATTTACATGGGAATGTGGCAGATAATTAATTGACATATTACTGATCTTGCTGGATTTTATTCTGCTTTACTTCCATAAATTGCAGGATCTTCTTTACTTTATCTTTGCCAGAAGATTTAAACTTTAAAAGCCTTGCCCTCATAATTTGCAAATGAATTTATTTATAAAGAAAATATAAACGCTGCTTAAGCTTATTCAAATGAAATTAAAAGTAAAATAAGAAGCCAACCTTATCACTGTCTGTAACCTACTAACAAGCTAAGGAAAGCATCAGATGAGCTACCTGAGAAACTAACTTACGTTTCCCCTCTTTAAAATGAAACAAACATGGTTACTCATCCTGCTGATCAGCTATCTTCACTGCCATTGAAGGCTCCAACGTGTTTTCTTTTCAGGTGCTGCGTCATAACAGTGGTGCTTCCGTGCCATGTTCATTTGTTTTTACAAAAGTTGCATGTTACGACTTTTTTCACTTTACAAAGCGCAGGCTATTTTAATTATTGTGATCAATTTGCGCCGTCAATCCCGGGGCATGCGCGCTTCATTTGCAGTCTGGACGCTGAGGGTAAACTCCTCACTAAAATCCTGCGGCTCTGACTGCCGTGCTGAGAGGGATTCTTGTGGGAGAGGGAGAAAGGCGTTGGGATGGGGGAGGCGCCCCACGGCAGCAGCTGCCGCTGGAGGACAAGAGTAGGAACGATACATGCTTTCACGTAAGAGTCTCCAAAAGCCGCCAGTGACACCGTAAAAAGTCGCCAGATTTGTCGCTAGTCGCTTTTTAAAAAAATAGTCGCTGGAGGGGTCTGAAAAGTCGCTGAGTTGGCAACACTGCAACTGCGGCGCTGACTCGCTCCGCCATATTTTTTTTTTTCTTCCCCGGGACGACGGCGGCGGCGGATGACGCATTAATCGCGCGACACAACTAATCGATGATTAAATTCGTTGCCAACGCTTTTAAAAGTCGATTTTTATCGATTTTATCGATTCGTTGTTGCAGCCCTAAATATAATAATAAAATATATATATATATATATATATATAATATAGTATTCTGTCTGCCCCCTCCCCTGTGTCCCAGCATGTGTGTGTGGACTGTAAGAAGAACTACTGCAGCCATTGCTCCGCCCAGCAGGGGCTGCGGCCCCGCCTCTGTCACACCTGTCAGCGTTTCTATGGGAACCTGCTGGAGCGGGCGGAGCTGATGAAGCTGAAGGTGAAGGAGCTGAGGGACTACCTGCACCTGCATGAGGTCTCCACTCACCTGTGCAGAGAGAAGGTGACAGTGAGAACCAATCAGAGAGAAGCTCTGCCCCAGTTTCAGCTTCCAGTTTAACCAGTGTTTTCTGTCCTTCAGGAGGAGCTGGTGGAGCTGGTCCTGAGTCAGCAGTCCTCACCGTCCGGTAGCTCCGGCCCCGACATCCAGATATCTGACCTTCCCACCGTGACCTCTGACCCTGCTGACCAGGCGCCTCGGATCTCGGTCTCTGACACGTCTTCTGATGGATCGATCCCTTCCCCGCCCACTCCAGAGCCTGAAGCCCCGCCCCCAACTTCAGACACCGCCCAGTCTGACCCTGAGCTGGAGGAGGATGACCCGGTAAGGCCTTTTGATGGTATTGGATCTTTTCTCTTGTTCTGTTTCAGCTGACTGACCTGTCCCTTCCCCACATACGCGTTTCAGGCCTGGGACGCGGAGGAGGCCCCCGTCTCCGGGCGCAGGGCCTCGCTGTCGGACCTGAACTGCGTTGACGACATCGAGGAGCTCAGCGTCCGGCAGCTGAAGGAGATTCTGGCCCGGAACTTTGTGGACTACAAAGGCTGCTGTGAGAAGTGGGAGCTGATGGAGAGGGTGACCCGGCTGTACCAGGACCAGCAGAACCTGCTGGGTGAGTAACAGCAACCCGTTACAACATTGCTCCATTCTGATACCAACTGAGTGTGTTTAAACAGGAAGTGGTTGATCAGCGGTCGCTGAATCTGATTGGATGTTTGATGATGTCACTGCTTTTCTGTTTCAGCGGCCAACTTTGTGAATGCTACTGGTGAGTTTTTTTTTTTCTGACTGTCGGATGAAACGGATTTTGGGGGTCGTTTCCTTACGCTGTCCTCTTGGTACCGCAGGTGGCGGTGGCGGGCCGGCGCCGGGCGTGGAGGAGAACCTCTGTAAGATCTGCATGGACTCTCCCATCGACTGCGTCCTTCTGGAGTGCGGTCACATGGTCACTTGCACCAAGTGCGGGAAGCGGATGAGCGAGTGTCCCATCTGCCGGCAGTATGTCATCCGCGCCGTGCACGTCTTCCGGTCCTGAACCGGTACCGGTCTTCATCTCTTCCTCCGCAGAACCAAGCGCCTTTTAAAACAATAAATCAGAGCCAGTTCCTCCCGAAGAGATTCATGATTTCATCCTCTTTCCTCTGCTACGATTGAAGATGTCGGTACGACTGACTCCGTCAGATCGGACCTCCAGCCTTTGGCGCTGCTGTGGTAGCCCAAATGGACCCGGACCCGTTTGCAGGATCAGGAGCAGGGCTCCTAAAGCTGCTCGGACTCTTCATTTTGCCTTAACCTGAATATAGACTGAGCAGGTGGTCTCTGCCGGGTTCTGGAGTCGTTCAGGTTACTTTAACGGTCAGAACACCGTTTAGTTTCCATGTTTCTGGGTTCTGCCTTCCAAGTGCCTTTTTAGGGAAGCATCTCTACATTCCAGCTTTAACTGTGCTGTTCGGAGAAGGCCCATTTAGCTGCATTGTTTTGGTATCACTGGGGGTCGGTTAGCCTTTGTTACCATTACTTTTCCTACACCTCCATGAGTGTAGGAGTTATTAGTGATTCATTGAGAGCTTATCTAAATACCCAAAAAGACGCCATAGAGCTTTAGGTAAACCCCCCCCTTAAAAACGGTCACAAATAGTTGGGCAATACCTGAATGCTTCAGGATTTTCTTCCATTTTCTAGTTCTTCTTCAATCGCAGTTTAAAATAGAGAATTCTTTTTTTCATTTTTTAATTTGTTGCAGGAAGTTCATATTCTGGGAAATTTTCAGAAACTTTTCTGATTTGAACTTTTTTTAATCATATTTCTCCCAACAGTTTTACTGTCCAATCAGAGCCCAGAGTGTAGACACGGATAGCCGCATTCACAGCAAAGAGTTTTTTTCTCCTTGGTGCTCGGAATATGTCCCATATAAGGTTCTGACATTTGGATTACTCTGATACTCCTGGAGCTTCTCACACACTGACAGCTTCAACTCTAGTTTCTCTGTGATGAAGAGAGTGGTGCTGTGGGCTTCTCGTCTTGCCTGGGGTAGGAGGAAATCGCCATGGCAACCATTCTCTGCTCCTAAAAGTCTCTTCTGTAATAAAAGGACTGGAACCAGCTGGATACCAGGTGCGCTGTGTAGCCCTGCCCCCAGCTTCAGATGACTGGTTCAGCTACAGGATGAAAGGCTGCTTTTCACATTTTAAGCTCATGTTTTTAGTTGGAGGAAAATCCAAAGCAGGGTCTGTCTTTTATGTATTTATAATTAATAAATTAGATTTAATGTATTTTTTCTGGAGATACAGTGAAGTGTCCTACGCCTAGAGTCTAACCTCTTACATCTGATAGGGAATTATTGGGGAGAAAGGGAAAAACGACAGCTGGTCACTAGAGAACAGGATCACTGCACGGCCAGCAGGGGGCAGCAGAGACTGCCGAGCCTGTGGGCAGAGATTACTACAGGAGTTCAAAGGGAATAAAGTGATGATTTCTGGGAAGGTTGAGGCTGTGTTCTGTCAGATCAGCATACTCCATCAGACCAGCATACCCATAGTCAATACATATGCGCAAGATGTCAGTCAGATTTGCGTTTATCCCTTTAGTTTTGTTCGAAAAATAGACTTAAAACTACCTAAACAGGCGTGTATCACTTTAGTCAAGTCCAAAAAAACTATTTAAGGTCAGAAAAAAAACAAAAAAAAACACACGCACACACCAAAAAGTAAGCAATTAAATTATTTTTTTCTTTTTGAGGTAGTTTAAAGTTTATTTTTCATACAACAATAAAGGGATAAACAAAAAAGATAATCTAAAGGATAAACAGGTATTGACTATGGGTATGCTGGTCTGACTGGGTATGCTCATCTGACAGAACAACAGATCAGCAGTTTCTTTCTGCTCCGGATCTTTAGGAACCAAGAGATTCTGCTGAATGTTTGTTTAAATCTAACAGTTGATTTTATGATGTTTACCAGCAGCATGTGTGAAGTTTTTTTTCTTCTGTTTGCACTAAAACCTGTTGATGCTTTAACACTTAAAGCTTTTTCTTTGGGTTTAACATTTTTTTTGTTGTTGTTGTTTTTTTGTGTGAATATTCTGGATTTTCTTTGTGAGGTGTGTTTTTTTTTTTTTTTGATCTATTGTTTCTGCCTGCTGGGATGGATCAGCTCAGGTCATTAATCTGTGGTATGGCAGATGAACTGATCTTGGCACCAAGTGTGTGGCCCCGATGCACAGGTTTGAAACCTCCTCAGATACTCTAAATGTAGCTGGAAACTATATGAATTCCATATTTTGATTTTTCTGGAATCAGTGAAAGAGATTTTAGTTAATGGAGAGAGCTCTGAATAAATTTCTAATGAAACTGAACAAAATGAACACTGTCTCTTTTATGCATTTACACCTGGATCCAGAATGAGTCTGTTGGGAGCCTCTGCAACACCAAGCTGTTATTTTAAAACCCCTATCATCTGATTCACTGTCCAAAGCATATTTTTTTTATTCCCTTATTTTCCACGGATGGAGATGGAGGATAATACTGATCAAAGATACACAAATAACAGTATACTCTGGCGTTGTGGTCATAGAAGAGTTTAGCATAATAGTTAAATAGCAGTTCACCCGCTTTGTCACTAGATGGCAGCCACAGTCTCTATTAGTGATTGCTTAGATCTGATTATTTTCTGTTTCAGGTTTATTGAGTTTTTCAGATTAACCGAATTAAAAAACAAAATCTAGAATAAACATTTGAGTTTAAAACTATAGTTTGATATGAAATAGATACCATTCCTACTGGAATTCGGTAACTGCTGAAGTTCTGGCAGCTTTCCTGCCATTTTATGGACTGCTAGCACTGTTAGCTTTAAGGTGATGTAAGTAAACCACATTTGGTTACAGAACAAACGCATTAAAACTACGCTGGTTAAGATTCCCAGTCATCCAGGTCATAGTCATTCCAAAAAATGTTTAAAAAAAACACTCCACTGGACTTTGTTTCCAAGTTTGAAGACGTTTCGCTTCCCATCCAGGAAGCTTTTCCTATTCAAAATGTCAGAAATAGTGTTGAGTTCGAGGCTTTATACCATAGCCCAACAATGCCTTGTTATTATTTTTGTTTAGAAAATGTGCTAATTGAAACTGACGACGTTTCCACCCCTTTGGTATGGGGATCATTTGGCTTCTTTTGTTAGCCTGCAATGCCCCATACCTGTCTATGTCTCTGCAAGGGGGGCGTTAAAGGGGATTGTTGGTCTAGCTGAAAAGGTGAGGTCTTTTTTTTTTTTTTCCTGCAAGGGGTTGGGTTGCGATGATAGCAGGAAGGGCTATATATATATATATATATATATATATATATATATATATATATATATATATATACATACAGGTGCTGGTCATAAAATTAGAATATCATGAAAAAGTAGATTGATTTCAGTAATTCCATTTAAAAAGTGAAACTTGTATATTATATTCATACATTACATACAAACTCATATATTTCAGATGTTTATTTTGTTTAATTTTGATGATTACAAATGACAACAAATGAAAATCTCAAATTCATCATATCAGAAAATTAGAATATTACTGAAGACCAATAAAAACAAAGGATTTATAGAAATGTTGGCCAACTGAAAAGTATGAACATGAAAAGTATGAGCATGTACAGCACTCAGTATTTAGTTGGGCCTCCTTTGGCCTGTATTACTGCAGCAATGCGGCGTGGCATGGAGTCGATCAATCTGTGGCACTGCTCAGGTGTTATGATAGCCCAGGTTGCTCTAATAGTGGCTTTTAGCTCTTCTGAATTGTTGGGTCTGGTGTATTGCATCTTCTTCTTCACAATACCCCATAGATTTTCTATGGGGTTAAGGTCAGGAGAGTTTGCTGGCCAATTAAGAACAGGGATACCATGGTCCTTCAACCAGGTACTGGTAGCTTTGGCACTGTGTGCAGGTGCCAAGTCCTGTTGGAAAATGAAATCTGCATCTCCAAAAAGTTGGTCAGCTGCAGGAAGCATGAAGTGCTCTAAAACTTCCTGGTATGTGGCTGCGTTGACCCTGGACCTCAGAAAACACAATGGACCAACACAATGGACTTCAAGCAACGTGGATGAAGTGCCTCTCTTCTTTTCCTCCAGACTCTGGGACCTTGATTTCCAAAGGAAATGCAAAATTTACTTTCATCAGAGAACATGACTTTGGACCACTCACCAGCAGTCCAGTCCTGTTTCTCTTTAGCCCAGGCAAGACGCTTCTGACGCTGTCTGTGGTTCAAGAGTGGCTTGACACAAGGAATGCGACAGCAGAAACCCATGTCTTTCATACGTCTGTGTGTGGTGGTTCTTGAAGCACTCACTCCAGCTGCAGTCCACTCTTTGTGAATCTCCCCCACATTTTTGAATGGGTTTTGTTTCACAATCCTCTCCAGGGTGCGGTTATCTCTCTTGCTTGTACACTTTTTTCGACCACATCTTTTCCTTCCCTTCGCCTCTCTATTAATGTGCTTGGACACTGAGCTCTGTGAACAGCCAGCCTCTTTAGCGATGACCTTTTGTGTCTTGCCCTCCTTGTGCAAGGTGTCGATGGTCGTCTTTTGGACAACTGTCAAGTCAGCAGTCTTCCCCATGATTGTGTAGCCTATAGAACTAGACTGAAAGACCATTTAAAGGCTTTTGCAGGTGGTTTGAGTTAATTAGCTGATTAGAGTGTGGCACCAGGGGCCATCAATTTTGAACCTTTTCACAATATTCTAATTTTCTGATATGATGAATTTGAGATTTTCATTTGTTGTCATTTGTAATCACCAAAATTAAACAAAATAAACATCTGAAATATATGAGTTTGTATGTAATGTATGAATATAATATACAAGTTTCACTTTTTAAATGGAATTACTGAAATCAATCTACTTTTTCATGATATTCTAATTTTATGACCAGCACCTGTATATATACACTCACCGGCCACTTTATTAGGTACACCTGTCCAACTGCTCGTTAACACTTAATTTCTAAGCAGCCAATCACATGGCGGCAACTCAGTGCATTTAGGCATGTAGACATGATCAAGACAATCTCCTGCAGTTCAAACCGAGCATCAGTATGGGGAAGAAAGATGATTTGAGTGACTTTGATT